ATAAATTTTTCATACAGGGCCTCAAATAGTTGAAACTAAATATTAGTTTGCAATTCATGCGCAAGTACCTTTGAGATAGAACTTATATCTATAAAACTCACTTTGTGTGATAATACCAAAGATAGATTTTTTTTTTATTATTATTGCTGAATCCTTAAAGTTCTTAGGATCTGATACTACTGCTTACAGCTCTAAATAGTCAACAGTTATTTCTAAATACTCCTAAAGTAGTACTAACGTTAACATATTTTCAAATTTAAAGGATGCTGTAAGTCTGTAAAAAAAAAAAAAAAGAAAAGAAAAAAAGAAAAAAATTCTGGTTTTCAGGTTCATTCAGTATTTTTTTAGAGAAATATTTTCTCTAAATATAAATTTATTTATTTTTAAAATATTAAGTCTGATGGAAGTAATCACATAAATGTTCTCAAGGCTGGGTCTTTAGTTTGGAAACAGCAAGTTCTTGAACTGGAACTTTATCTCCTGCTGCGAGAGGTTTGCTTTGAAATATTAACATTGCTCCATTACAAGAAAGTGAAAAAAATTTATAAATGAAAAGCACTATCAGAATGTTTATGATATAATTATTGTATTATCATGACAGCACAATATTGCTCTGGTCTTAATCAGATTTTCTTTTATAAGTTAATTGATTGTTTAATGTGGAATGACTCTTCATTTTGTTGAAACAAGGCTTCTCTTTCAATGTTCAAGCTCTATTAGACTTTTGAGTTTGATCCAGCTTTTGAAATTCAGAACGGTTTTGCTCGTTTTTTTTTTCTTTTCCATTTTTCTAATAATCAGAACTACTTTTATCCTCAGATTGGACAGAATTAAGTCCTGTCTCTTATGTTAATGCCAGTTTACCTTTGATGCAAATTCCAATCCAATTCATAGTTCAACAGATGGATAGGGAAACAGTAGTAAGCATCACCAGTAGAGATTTGGAGCTCTTCTTTCAAACAATTGACTTACAGGCAAAATATTAGATTACTTTTCTCTCAGGTCAAAAGGCGTTTTTTAGTGGCTAGCTGCACATCATTCATCAAACAGAACATCTCAAATTCAAGTCCTCAGGCTACAGCTGGGAAGGATTTGGCTGACTGAATATTTCAGTACAGATTTATAACTTGACAAAAAAAGTTCCCTTTTGATTGATCCCTTAAGGGAACTGTGCCAAATTAGTGGCTTTTGGTGTGGGTTAGTGCTCCGCTGATGAGAGACAGTGCACAAAGAACTCTATTTTCCTATTAGTGCTGATCATATTTCAGAGATGGTGTGGATACAGTCATGCATTCTGAGAGCTATCAGATCTTGCTACTTCCACAAGCCTGCTGCTTTCACATAGGCTGGCAAGGATTTCTGCACAATTTTGTGCAGTGGCCTATGGAATATGTTCTAACGCGAAGACTGGTAATTAGAAACTCTCATTAGTGTTACTTGAGAATGGCATAACTCAGCTGGGAATCTCACAGCAAAATGTTTTCATTGCACCTTCATCTGTCAAGATTACAAGTTAATCTCCACATTTGAAAGGGAAAACTAGAAGTGCATAGTATTAGCTTATTCTTACAACAGCCACTGTTTCTGAAGTATTATTTTCAATCATACTTCTACACCAAATTCTGCTGTAAATGAGCATCGTTTCTTATACATTAAAGGGAGGAGGAAGTGCTTTCTTCAAGAGTGTAAGTGTTTACAAGACAAATATAAAAATTTAAAAATCTTACCTCTTTTGATAAGCCTTGATAACAAAACTTAAAACTTTGGACTTTATACTGAATTCATGCTGTTATTGCATTTTCAGTCGGAGACATCAGGCAATGCTTTTCAATTTCTAGGTATTTTGAGTTATTTAACAATGAATCAGTCATTAAGAAAGGAAAACGCTGCATAGGAAAGTCTGTGTCACCTCACTAATGTATTGCACAGATGCACAGTGTTCAATACACACCAGGTAAATCACAGTATAGGATAGAAAGGGGAAATAAAGTAATAAAAGATACATTGCCTGGCCTCAGAACACAGATATCTCAGACTAGCACTTTTCTATGAAAAAATGGAAAACAATCTATTTTTCAAATAAGTTAAGAATGGAAAGCAGCTTTCTAAAACCTCACCAATTACAGGAACCTGCAAATTCTTATGCAACATGTTCTTGTTTTCTTTTTACAGAGGGAAAAGTTCATAAAACTGCTGGATCAATTGCACAATTCTCTGAGGATTGATTTATCGAAATACAGGGTATGTACAACATATTCTATCTAGAGGAAAACTCTCATGTTTTTCGTGTAAATATTCCTGTGTGCTTTATCTGCTTATAGATGTTTTAGAGATTAATGCCTCTTGTGGCATAGAAGCTGGGTACTGACATGAGATCCCAAATCCTTTGGAACAAAAACTTAAGAATTTAAGCAGTTTAACAACAATATTTTTCCAATTTGAAAAAAGTTGTTCTTCTCTTTCCAAAAACTAAGAATGGGTCACAGGATGAGCAGACATTCAAGAAAGAGCAAGATTCAAAAACTTTGGTTAAATTAATCCACAACTTGGTTAAATAAATTTATGTGGGAATTACCTTCACTGACTCATGTAGCACAAATTGCAGTTACTGCTGTATTTATTCTGAGAGGCTGACATCTTTTCTAAAACTTCCATGCTAAGATCCTAGGAATGTTGAAAGAGACTTGACTCCTCATTTTTGTACATGATAGCAATTCCAGTTTAATTTCTGCCTCATGGATGTTCTTTCCACTGAGGTATACTCCAGACCAAGCCTTTCAGGAAAGAAGCATGCCCTGAATACCTGTCAGTTACCATTCTGAACTCTCTCTCCTGTTCCATTCCACTGGATAATGAATCTTTTGGATGTTATATAAGTGATTAGGGCTCCATCAGCTCTGACTCTCCTTTCAGCTTCTAGGAATGGCAGCCTCCAACTCAGGGATTTCTCTGTTCATCTGGCCTGCTTTCTAAAACTGAAGGAGAAAGGGAGTATTTAAAAGAAGCCCAAGGCATTAGAGGTAGTAGAAGTTGCACATACTTCATTTTTAAGACCATATCCTTCATGCAGCAGAGATTGTCATCCTAGGATCTTTTAATTTTGAAGAACATTATCCAGATAATATTGGAGCATGAGGATATTTGGCTGATATTTCATTAGTATGAAGCCATTTAATTAACACTACTTCCTATCAGTCTTCCTGTTAACCTAGAGATCATAGCAAAAATTTCATATATGATGTCTTCATTAAGCTTACTACTACATTCAGGCCTACAAGTGATGTATGTACCATGGAGAACCCATAAATGATTTTCATTAGCAGTGTTTTCCAGTCTTTTTCTAGTAATTTTTTTACTCCATTAATGTTTTGAAAATATCACAATACTTTAAGTCATTTATATTACAAATACAGGAGCATTATCAGAAGCATTCCTGTTCATGTCAAAGGGATACTCATCACTGATTTTCTTACAGGCAGATTTCAGGTAACACATGGACATTTCAAATTTGTCCAAGCAGCATCATTGTTTTCCTAGAGAGTTTTTTTCCTAGCTGTTCAAGGATCTTAGCTGTAACTCCAATTTTACATGATTCCTCTCTTCCTGATTCATCAGGATAATTTTCCTGCCAGCAATTCTGAAAGACTTCAAGATCTGAAATCAACTGTGGACCTGCTTACCAGCATTACGTTTTTTCGAATGAAGGTATTGTCCTTTATTTGCACAATGACTCTGAAAAAAAACGCTATTGCCTTTTATTTTCCAGAAAAATCATGCCCTATTTAATACTCTTAATCAGTTCATCTCTTTCAGTTTTAAATTAAATCTCTCAACTTAGTGAAGATCATTGAAGTAAAATCATCTTATTAATACTTGTATTAACATTGTGGTAAATGCCATTATCTTTGAAAAATAAACTTCTTTTTTTAACAACTATTTTTTTACATCTTGTGAAGGAAACAAAACAATTAGCTTTTTGATTAGTTTAAAGTCAAGTCACATAAAGCAAATCCAGTTGAACTCTTTAGGAACATGTGTCATACAGAATAATGTTTCCCTAGGAGTGTCACAATATTACATGTCAAACAGCAAAGTACGTCTGATAACTCTACTTGCTTTGTTCACTCCAGATGTTGATATCTAGGTGATCAAGTTCTGAAATATTTTTAGAATTGAATGAGACACATTGATATTACTCTATTGTGGGTTAGGCCTCTCCTCTCTGAAAATACAGAAACACAAAACAATGTTTGTTGCAATAGCATGTGATTTCACTGCACTACATAAAGAGAATGAAAATAATCCATTAAGCTGAAGTTCATATTAATGTATCCTAAAGTGGAATAAAATGCTGAGCTCTTTGCTTTAAAAAATGAAGAGCTATTTGGCTGGTATTCAGAGGAAAGCACATAATTATATGGTTTAATTATTTCCTAAATAATGGACAAACCTTTAGGTTTTCCATCTCTAGCGGAAAACCTGAAGGTGTAAACCTTTGGACCTCTCATTGTATGAGTAATTTCATTCAAATAAAACTTAGTGATACAATCTACTTGTATAACTTGTGTTTTAATGCATCTTCTTAAGTCAACATAATTTCAATTTTTATCATTACTATATTTCAACACTTTTCATCCTGTAAGAACTAAGTTCATTGCAACACTTGGATTTTTTTTGTGCTCAATCTAATTCTGACATTCTATCATTTATGAAATATTTTATTAGGTCCTTGAATTGCAGAGCCCACCTCGAGCCAGTACTGTGGTGAAAGACTGTGTAAGAGCCTGCCTGGATTCAACTTATAAATACATTTTTGACAATTGCTATGATCTCTACTCCCAGTTAGTGGATCAGGTGAGTCCAATATGAACGTGTTTGATGCTACTGCTCATTCATTATTGTTAGTTTACTAAAAGTACATACAAAGAATTCCAGTGTTACTTCATATCAAAGCACTCAGGTTATTTTCATATTATTTATGTGAGAAGGAGTGATATAATAAACTCACAGATGGTAATGAACTCTAAAATGTTCAACAAGATGAGTTTCAAAATGAACATGTTAACTCATAACTTAGTCATCACATTGGACATGACTGTAAAATTGTCCAATGGCTTTAGAGAAGATAGTATTAGATTGATTACTGTTCATTTAAGATCTGTAATTGGAAAATATTTTTTACAAATGTAGTATTTCACTTTAGTAGCTTTAGAAAAGAATCATTATAATTTCCTGAAAATTATATACTGTCTTTCTAGCTTTGTATTTTAAGACCTATGATGCATACTTGGATCCAAGCTTTAGTAACTGCTTCAAAAAAGCAGAGAATAATTCTATAACATTTCTTAATGTTAGTCCATCAGGCTGTACTGTCAATGTAAAATAATTATAGCATTTGTGGTATTCCATGAAAAAGCCTTGAGAATGGGTTTTTCCTATAATATGGCCAGTTTATTCCAGAAGTAATGTTAAAATTGAGAAATTCATATCTGCAAAATCATATAACTGTCTGAAAAGAGCATCACTGCTTTATCACATTACCACTTGTTCCTTACTTTTGCCTTCTGGGTGGTACACTGGAAAAATGGTATTTCAGTGACTATTTCTGCCTTGAAAATAATTAAGTTGTTTGGCAAAACGTACATTTGCTGTGTAGTATATGACAGGTAAGAGCAGTCATACTGCATGATGTAAGACATCAAGTTTTATCTGAAAGCACATTCCACTTGAATCCGAAATAGGAATTCCTGTATTTCAGGAGAGGCAGCACATGCTATATATTCAACTTTTCTGAAATGAGAATTTATTTTCTGATGTTGGATTGCTGTTACATGAGAAAACTTATCTCTAGCTCTCAAGCTTTGAGCATAAGAATATCTCACCAGCACCTATAGGCAACCCACACTCTGAGTGCTCGTGTACATGTTTATTTTCCAACAGATTATGCTATATGTTAAGCAGCAGTATAAATTACTACAAGGAGCTTCAGACATCACTTCTATTCACCTCATAAACCGTTCTGTTTTCTTGCTAACATTTACTCTGCAGCAGTTTGATCTTGTCTGCTAAATATGAGCTGTTGCTAGACTGGGTATTGCATAAGTCTGCAGAGTTTATCAGCAGACACTAGCCATTTTAGTAAACAGTTAATAGTGACGTAATCTTCTGCAAAGCATTGTGATACCTGCAAAAGCTTATCTGTATTTAAAAATTGTCACTACTTTTTTTCTGTGAATTCCTAAAATAGTTTAGCCTATTTTAGTAGATGGTTTAGAAATGCAGGGATATTATAGCCTTTCAGTTTGGTAGAGAATGTAAAACAAGTTTAAAGTGATGCATCTCTCCAAGGTGGATTTTTTTTTTTTTGAGTAGAAGGATGGGCAGTCATTATATTATTTTTCTGTTACACAACTCTACTTAATGATAAGGCAATATGAAGTCCTGAAACAAACAAAAAATAATCCACAAATACTTATTCAGCTGGGAAACTGAATTAACTGCATTTCACTGTATTTATATGCTTCTTCTAAGGCATATAAATCTAAGGAAGATTTCCAGCAGGTAAGTTTGTATGCAGAAAATTTAAACAGACAAGTGTCAATAGAGTAACAATAACTAGCAAGTACAAGAAATTTTAGTGAAAATGTGCAAAAAGCAAAACTTAAAATGATAAATAGACCACATTCAAAATAACTCATCATTAACAGTAATCAAACAACAATCACATATAATCTTAACAACAGATAGTAAAACTTCCTGTTTCACAGCAGGTAGGAGGCAATTCTGAGAAATATAATCTAACTAATCTAGATTTAATAGAGATGAGTAAAATAATTCATAATTACTACCTAAATTTTGCATCAACTCTAGAATTGTACAAGAAACTGTGTTCTGCATTATTGTCTTATGGTTTGCTACAGATATATTTGTATGTGCATTTAATTTTAGGAACAGCTAAGTGTACAGCTTATTGGAACCTATAGCTCTGGAGGTTTTCCAGTGAATCCAAGTGCACTGCAGACTGCCTTATAGTATCACTGATAGAATAATGAAGCAGGAACCAACACCATATTTACATTTCATTAGCTTTGTGTCCAGACCTCTTAGTCCAATTACACCAAATTCCACCCAGATCCAAATCTTGTCTTATCTCTGCTTGCTTCCCTATCAGATGAGGCCCCCTCCTCTCTAGCATGGTAGTGCACTGCAGGAGGTTCATGTTTTAGCTGCACAGCTGAGATCTGAGCTGTGAGTAGTGAGAACTGAAATCAATGATCCCCAAAGCAACAAGAAATGGTTCATACATAGGTCACCACCTGCTCTCACTCAGGGGAAACACTGGCAGCTGTTGTCCTTCCAAGGCCCACTGCAGGCTCAGGATTTTGTTGTGGTTCGTTTCTTGCCTGAATCATATTGTGGATGATATTATGAAAAAGTGGAACCTAGACACTCTACTTAAACAGTAGTATTACCATTAGACCAGAAGTGGTAGGTTCATGCATGTTATATATACTGTCTCTGTGTGTAACTCATGTTAACCACCTTCTGCATTTGCTTTTGTTTACAACCTAAAATTCTCAAAGATGCCTGCCACAGCATTTCTAGAAAATGTTTAATGTCTGGATGTGTGTAATGGTCTGATCAGGAGTGAAAATAGAACAATGAATGATGAAATTGAGGATGCTCAAGCTGGAATTTGGGGAAATTTATCACTATTAGAAGACTAACAAGTAAATCACAAAATATGCTCAGCAATCTCAGCTTCCTCTTTTTATTACTCTGTACCTTCGTGTCAGAGAGACAATCACTGTTATAAAGCAAATATCTTGCAGCAAAATGTCACCTCTGGGGAACAGCAATATTTCCTGTGGTGAAGCATGTAAATGCTAACAGTATGCAAAAATGTCATACTACAGTTTCATATCTGAATATGAAGAACAGCTGATGACAAAGAACAAATGAGTGCTACAGATAGTAACACATGACGTCTTGACACTCTTACTGACACGTATATTGCTGTCCTCATGGAGATAAAGCACAGCACTCTGATGAGGAGCTACCGAATTCCTTATGCAGCAGATGTATTATTTTCTCTTTTTAATTAACACTGATCTGAGTTAAGAGCTAGCTGCCTTATGTTGAAAAAACAATGCCTTGAAGAAGTAGTTTTGGAAGCACTTTGATAACTTTCTGACTCAATTTCCAAATATATCACTGTTCTGTTTTCTTAAGAAAACAACAAAATTTTGAAATCTTGGCTGATGCTCACAATGACTGAAGTCCCTTCAATGATTCTTTTAGCAGTCTTCTCCACTGAGTGAAATCAATAAAATGCAAATCAAACTCTTCCTGTTCTCTGAAGAGCTCTTGATCAGTACAAATCATTTCATGACTTATAGCACCAGTATACTGGGAAAAAAAACACTAGGATACTCTGTATTTGACACCTGCTCAGCAGAATAGTATTGAAATTCTCCCTGATTCTGGAGACCTTTTCTTTGTCTGTTTCTCAAGCTCTGGTGGTATCACAGTGAAGCATGGTGCAGACCAGGAGCGAGCAACAAAATTAACTAGTTCTGGAGACAAGTATTACACATGTAGCAGCACAGTGCTCTTCCCTTGTGATTTACCTCTGCTTAGAGGTATAGCACCTTAGGTCAGGTTGATAACGTACTGATACAATTCTAGCTTTTGGGAATTAGAGTTCCTGTATTAACAAGATGCTGCAAACCAGCATATGGATGGACCTAGACTTGGAGAGCTGGCTTAGTGTACCATCTGTGAGTCCCTGGTCACTTTTCCAGTTGGGATTTGGGAACCCACGCCACTTAGCTGTTTTTGAAGGTGTACCTCTTCAGGAGAAATTACACAATATTGGTAGATTATTAATTTCTTATATAGAAATACTATAAGAATTGAATCAGGAAGCATGTGATCTCTGATGTCCAAACACATTCAAAAGTATGAAGCAGGAAATAAAGTTGTACAGTAGTGAAAGCCGTTTACCACAGGGAGTCCTATTTTTCAGGCATGAAAATTTCAGTGCCAAGTAATACTTGAGGCACTTTTTTATATTGACATACTGCTTTAGATATACTAGAAAGGTTCTAACTTTCTCAAATCTGGCATGCAGAAGGTACTTAGAGACCTCTCCTTATGAATCATAGAATGGTTCGAGTTGGAAGGGACCTCAAAGATCATCTAGTTCCAACCCCCCTGCCATGGGCAGGGAAACCCTCCACTACACCAGGTTGCCCAAAGCCTCATCCAACCTGGCCTTGAACACTTCTAGGGATGGGGCATCTACAACTTCTTCAGGCAGCCTGTTCCACTGCCTCACCACCCTCTGAGTGAAAAATTTCTTCCTTATTATGCTGTATCATTATGTTTGATGGGCAGCATGTTAGCCACAGTAACAGAAAAGCTTTTGATAAAGTACTTTAGAACCGCAGAAGGATGCATTTTTGCTTTGACATTTCAAACCCTATACTGAGACTTCTCTGTTACAGAAAGACCAATTCTTACAGATAAAATTGCTTGTTAGAAGCTTGCCTGAGAACACTGGTTAGAAAGTCAAGAGGACAGCTCATCAACCAGTGGTAGCAGAGATCTGGTAAAAGAGAAAGTAGGAAAGTCCATAGACCTTCAAGTAAGAAAGGTAGTATTGTCATCAGAAGAGATGAACAAACTGGTTTGTTATCCAAAGCCTTATACTCTTCAACTGTTTGTGTTAATTCTAGGTGCATAGCAGTGAACTGTTGTCAGTTAATGCTAGATCTCCAAAAATCCAAATATTTTTCCAGTGCAGAAATCTGAATGCTGATAAAGATTGGTTATTACTTAAGAACAATGAGCAAGATAAACCTGAACTCTACTCAGGCCTTAAATACAGATTATCTCATAAGCAACAAAAGTCTAATGAATGTTGATTTTTGTGAGATTGCAGTTAATTTACAATCCGGACCCTTTAGTTGTGAACATACGCAAGTGTTTTAAAAAGTAGTTCAGATGATGGCTCTTTGCAAACAGTTTACTTTGTTTATTTATTTATCATTATTATTTAATTATTTATACTATGCGATTGGGCTATCATATTCCCAGAGAACAATATAAACTTGAGTGGAATGCCCAGTATTTGGATTCCTGTGTTATTGAGTCCTGTAGCTATAAGGGTATGAAAACTTGAACATTTATATGTAGTTACTTCAAGTCCAATTTGTGTCTGAATGCTTGCAAAAGCAATTGTGTGTCGAAATCTGATCTTTCATAATACAGTTCCAAACTGATTATCAGTAAGCATTGACTTGGAATTGAGTGAAACACTGACAGTTCTGAGAAACGTGAACGCACAAATTTCTGCATCTGAGTTTGTGACATGCTTCCTGTAGGTTGATGATTATGGTGTAATGAGTATTACAGCAATCACAGAACAGACAGACATCAATGCAGGTATGCAAAACCATCTGGCATCCTGATTATAACCTTCAGAGTGTTAAGTATGCACGTTATGCAGCTAAAAAGCAAGGGACCTACAGTGGTTGATAGATTTTCTTAAAATTTGAAACGCTGTGGTTTACAATTTTCCAGAGCAACATTTCTAGCCTTTCAATTTGTAATATATATTATATAACGTATCATATAAAAATATATTTTTATATATATAGTATATAATATATAAATTTTAAAAGATGCATGATGTTATTGTGAATCCTTCTTTCTTTACCACAGTTGTCCTTTTAGATATGCTGCAGAAAGCGGGGCATTATTACAATTAGACTTTGACATTCTTAAAAATATTGTGATGTAGATATGTCAGAGCAGTATGAAGGTAACACTGATTGCTGCAAAGAGCTTTCAATAAGAGAGGAGCTAACCTAGGTCTTTCTCCACCTATTCCCTGCATAAGCATAGTGCTTTTGGGAAGGTGGGGCAAATCGAACCACAGTAGCACTGGTCTTGCCACTCCAGAGGAGTTATGCATGTTACACTGCTCGAAAAAATTAGATTGGCTCCTTTTACATGCCAGTCTGCAAAGAAAAAGAGTGAAGAGTCTTAATTAGATTTTATCCAAAAGGATTCCATTCCATTTCAGTTGGTACTTGCCATGGTTTAGTCAGTACTGGAGAAGGATACATGGCATATGGTTTCTGTTTCAAATATGAAAACAGTTTAGGAGTTACTATGCAATAGCACTGCTCAGGGGTACGGGTTCAGCGAAATCCCTCACGTTTTGAATGTGTTTTGAGTGACTGCAAACGGTTTCTGGCTTTAGCCTCTCTAAGTAAATGCTGCAAAGCCCAATTCTCATTCTTTATGTACATAAAAATATTTTTTTAAAAAAGTATAAAAAATATATAAAATTATAAAAATAGGTGTAATACATATAAATGTATATATGTGTGTATGTTATATATATATAGTCCATATTGTGTATTCCC